AGCCACGAGCCATGTGGCAAGGTATAGATTAATGGAAATGGATTAATTTAAGCTATAAGAACAGTTAGCAAGAAGCCTGCCACAGCCATACAGTTTGTAAGCAATATAAGTCTCTGTGTTTACTTGGTCGGGTCTGAGAGGCTGTGGGACTGGCGGGTGAGAGAGATTTGTCCTGACTGAGGGCCAGGCAGGAAAACTTTAGCTACAAATGGCGTCCAACGTGGTGGCAAGAGTTTCCACCTAAAAACTGAGAAAAAAGATTCTAAAACAGAGCTAAAAACAGCTTCCTAATTGTCTCTCTCAAATGAGAGGCAGCTGCCAGTTTGAGCTACTGGTGGGTTTCTAGGGTGCATGCATGCTCGACCTGCAGTATGGCGGGAATGAGGCCTCTGCAAGTGGCACATTAAGCTGCGTGGTGGATTTAGCCTTTGGTAGTACAAAACAAAAAAAGAGGTTTCTGGGCTACACGCTGCTTGGATAAAAACATAGACCCACTATTTCTGGGAGTTGATGACTTCCAGAGCTGGCGGAAAACGTACCACCGCCATGTTGGGAAGCTGAAGTGGGCGGAGCCAGCAGCCATAGCGCCAGCGCTGTTTCAGGCTTAGAAGGCTACAGTTCAAAGCAATAGGCTCAAGCTAATATAAAAAAATAAGCCACGTAAAGATGGCTACCACACACAAAATCTGGATTATGTTCTCTTTGATATTCGTAACTGAAGAAAAACATTTGATTACAAAAGCTGTTGAGTTATGCCAAAATGTATATTTTAAAGGTACCTTGACTTCAAAATTTGAATGTAAGGATATGTTGCTTTGGAAAGGAGGCTCTGCTTTTGTTTCCACAGAAAGCCAGAGGCTATGAATTTGTTCCAGATTAAGACACAACAGGTTTGACCAGCCAAGACCACCTGAAAGGTCTCCGATGACACCATGGCCCAGATGATCCAACATCCAGAACCGTTTCAAGGCAACTGGCTCAGACGATACACCCTCATGGACTACTCCATAACCCTAAAATATTCTTTGTTTCCCCAGAAAATACAGCGCCCCCCTCCAGCAGGAAGTAGTAAGAGAAGCTACGCCCAAATTCCCAAATATACCAAGCTGACTTTGGAGATGTGTAAAGGTTAAAACCTTCCTTTTTAAGAACAGAAAAGGGGAAGTGCTGTGGGATAGTCTGTATGTCAAATGTGTTGCTGATTGGTCAATAAATAAATCACTGATTGGTCAGTGGCCAGGCAGGAAGTATAGGCAGGACAAGGAGGAGAAAAAACTGGGAAGTAGAAGGCTGAGTCAGAGAGACACTGCCAGCCGCCATGATGAGAAACAGCATGTGAAGATGCCGGTAAGCCACGAGCCATGTGGCAAGGTATAGATTAATGGAAATGGATTAATTTAAGCTATAAGAACAGTTAGCAAGAAGCCTGCCACGGCCATACAGTTTGTAAGCAATATAAGTCTCTGTGTTTACTTGGTCGGGTCTGAGAGGCTGTGGGACTGGCGGGTGAGAGAGATTTGTCCTGACTGTGGGCCAGGCAGGAAAACTTTAGCTACAGAACACGGCCTCTTGATCATCTAAGCACTAGACACAACCAAGATGTCACTATCGGGTTTCTTGGTTCAGGTGTTGGATCTGTGAATGCTAATCTACATCTCATAGTCCATTCATGTCAGCACTCCAAGAACATCTGAAGTTAGTTCTCAGTGTGGGGATCATTCTGGAGGGAATATTGACAGTTGAGTCACAAACTTTGGTATTTCAAAGAGGGAGAGAGAAGGTGCAAACTCATTAAACAAGTGAGCAAACCCAAATATTTGAGCAGAGGGATGTTTTTATTTATATAATTTTAGTTATGATTCCTCTTGTGATTTTTAGTGGGTAAGATTATGGTTTGGAAATGTCTGTTGTCATCCCCCACATACTCAACTGACTTATTTTAAAGGGAGACAATTTGGTAAGAAATGATGTCATAGGGTGGGTCCCATGTATGGGTTCATACTATGAAAGTTTAAAATACTAGAGGTATATAACCAACATTCCCCAAAGATTTCTTTCACTCAGACATTCAAAGTGGGTTTTGGAGATGTTTTAAAAAACTCAATTTGACTCATTTCTGGAGTTTTTATTAACAGACCCCAGCTGCCATGTCTCCCCTGTCTGAGTTGTCTGGCTGGAGAGTTTTTCCTTCCATAGGTAGTCAGAATCTCCACAGTGGAGGAGGGAGCTACAAACAGTCTAGAGCAAGAAAGAGGCTATAAGCCACTCACGAGTAGGCCCAGGATAGCCCGGAGTCCACTGCCCATCAGATATGCTCCAGTCTCCATCTGCTGGCCTCGGCTGCAGGGATTTGACAATGAGATTCACTTTGGGGGTTGGTGCTGTGGGATGGTCTGTATGTCAAATGTGTTGCTGATTGGTCAATAAATAAAACACTGATTGGCCATTGGCTAGGCAGGAAGTATAGGCAGGACAAGGAGGAGAATAAAGCTGGGAAGTGGAAGGCTGAGTCAGAGAGACACTGCCAGCCGCCATGATGAGAAACAGCATGTGAAGATGCCGGTAAGCCACGAGCCATGTGGCAAGGTATAGATTAATGGAAATGGATTAATTTAAGCTGTAAGAACAGTTAGCAAGAAGCCTGCCACGGCCATACAGTTTGTAAGCAATATAAGTCTCTGTGTTTACTTGGTTGGGTCTGAGCGGCTGTGGGACTGGCAGGTGAGAGAGATTTGTCCTGACTGTGGGCCAGGCAGGAAAACTCTAGCTACAGGTTGGTGTAACTTTGTCTCACTTCACCCCCACTACCTGGACCCTAGTGCTACTGACTTCTCTGCCAGCTGCCCATTTCCTCTCCTGGATGTGTTAAAATCCTCAGTGTATCCCCTGACATATGCTCTTCCCCAGCCTGGCATCGTCCCCCTATGGAACTGTTTTCTGAGCCAGGTCTACCTTCCTCCACCCTAGTCCCTATTGCATATTCCATAATGGGATGGAAGGGAAATGACTATCAACTTAAGAGGATTTGGGAGAGAATCAGAACTGCCTTAGCTTCTCTACTTCAGGACGTGTAATTTAGGGGAAAATATTTCAATTTCCTAAGCCACTTTTAAATATGAACACACATTGTAGACTGTTAATTTACCAATCTCCAATCACTTCCCTTTCCTATTTCTACTGCTGTAAATCAAGAAGGGCCCTCCTCACCTACATGGGACCACTTACAACGATAATTCAACCAGCAATCTTAGTAGCTACTCAAAAATTAATCCTGTTCACTGCGGTCAGATCACATTACTTACAGATGAACTTCCTCATTACTTACCATTCCCATCTCCAGAAAACCTGATCAAATGACCCTAACGATGGGAGTTGCAAATCCTTCGCTTCCAGAGAACAAATGGGGGTTTCTGATTCTTAGAGGTTTCAAGGGAGTAAAGACTCTTCCCATCACATGATCTAGCCTGGCCTAGCATACAGGCCAGAGGACACAGAGGCAGGTGTTAGGCAGGACCATAAATTTATCTTGCAGCCTCAAGAGGGAGGAGCTTACAAGATCACAGCACAGAGTACTTTCTTATCAATTCTCTGTCAGAACATGGGGATTGGGAGGGCTAGCAATCAAGCTGCAAGAAATGTGTACTGATTTTTGGCAAGAGAGACATCTGTAGCAGCTGTGATCTAATAGTAAGAACCATGACTTTTTTCTTTGTATTCCAGGAAGTAACGAAAAAATAGGAATTAGCGATAAGCAGGGGGTGGAACATGGATCATTTCTAATGACTTTCATTTTGACTGAAACATTCAGTTTGAGAGTAGTTTTGAAGTTGATAGCTACAAATTAATTGTGAATGGAAATAAGGGCCATGAAGCCCATTTCTCAACCACATACTCAGTGCCTGTGACAGAACTTTTTTCAAATGTGCTTTCCCATTTCTTCCTAACAGTCCTATGAGGTTTCATCTTGTTTGCAACTGAGGAAGCAGAAGCTCCGTAGAGTGCAAACCAAATACTTAAAACCCACCTGACAGCGTTACTGAAGAAAATGGACGAATCAGTAATGTTCACCTCTGAGGATAATGAGCTAAAGAAATGGAAGACATTATCTACAAGGATGTCATGAGTAAAAGAAATAGATATCATCTAGTTTTACCATTCAAACACAACACTTTGAAGTGTCCAGTATACCCAACATTGTCATTTTAATCTTAACATTTTATGGAGACATCCTTCTTAAAAGAATGTTGGGCATTTAGCCAATTATTGTATCGTCAGGAGGCTGAGTCTACCAAATACCATTTGTATAATTCAACATTCATGTAATACCAGGATATTTGCTTTGCAACAAATGACAAAAATAAGACACAGTCCTTGCTCAAAGGCTTATAAATATGAAAGCCAGCTAAGATACATGGGAAGAAACCACAGTGGCAGAAACTATTATCTGAAATCTTTGCATGAAAGATGCCCTGTCCTTTGGTGATAATGAAAGACCCTACTAAGTAGGCTCTAGAAGGAAACTATTCATTTGGATGCTGCACAATGAGAATGGCTTGGTGATGAGACTGATTTGGTCTTGCAGTTGGTGTAACAAAGGTGCTTCTCTGGGTATCAGAATACTCTGGGGTGGAACAAAGAGGCTATGGAGTTTCAAAACAAGATCTCCAGCCTTGGCTTTAATTTCCTTAATTTAAAATTTTGAGTTGCTAGCAAGGGGACTGAAGACTGTTTCAGTTTCTGAAGAGAAGAATGCTTTAAAGAGCTATGAGAGATATAGAGAAGCCAGCGTGGCAGTCAGTGCTGCAAGAGAAGCACGGGGAAGAGTGAAAAGGGTCACAGAGCTGTGGAAGAGTTAACTGGACGACCGAGGGTTACCTGGGAAAGTGAGATGGTCCAACTTTAAATGAATGTTGTCCTAGGAAAGCTTTTAGGAGATTTATAAACATAAAGCTCCTTTCAAAAAATGAACTCAAAATAATTTTGAGTAAAAAGGGAAAACATACTGTAAAATATTTATTTAATAAAAATAGTTTTATAATCTATACAGAATTGAATAAAAAGTACAACAAATTATTATCACTTCTTCATAAAAGTGCATACAGTACAACCAGCACATCGGGTTCAGCATTCTACAAATATGGCCACATAGCAAGATGTGAACATATTTTTGATTTAGACAGGTAAGAAGGATCAGATTGGGTGCCACAAATTGTGGATTAAATTCCAAGGAAATGTTGCTTTGGTAATGTGAACAATTTGATTGTACCACAATACATGATATTTAAAAGACAAAGAATAAAATTTCTCAAACATAGTACTTTGTGTTTCTGGGCAATCAACTTCCTATGGAGCTAAAAGGAAAGGTGTGCAGAGGGTGAACAAAACGTAAAACTGGAGGTTGCTACTATGCCCTTAGTCCTCCCTCTCCTCCTTAGTGTTCCTCTCCCCAGCTGGAAAGGAAGGCGCACGGAATGACCTATTATTACCTTTATTTCTTCTATGTCAGTTCTGCGGTACTGTCTTCTCAGTGCTAGTGCTCGAGCAAGGGTCTTCCAAACACTGGTCAAGCTCTCTACTATGGAACGTTATCCCGGCCCAGGTGTTGCAGTCTTAATATTAATAACACTGTTTAGCTATGCTGTTCTTAGAAAGTCAACACTCTAGTTAAAAGCACCTACCTAGAGTCTTTGCACAATAAGGCAACAAAGTTGGCTTTGAAATAGTCTTTAGGTCTCACAAATAATAGTACATAGAACACCATTCTTCAAGTAACGAGGAAATGGAACAAATTTTAAGTATCTCTCAAGATGATCTAACCTTAGGAATAAAGGCAGGTTTAAGGTCCAGAATGCAGGCATCAAGTCTACCCTAGTTCCAGCTCCAATACAATAATTAAAAAGAGGCTCAGTTAATGAAAAAGGCCTTAGAATAATTCCATTCCTACTGACATTTTCATCTTGGATAAGAATGCCAAGATAACAACATGAAAGGCATAGGGGAATGAAGTTGTTTCAAAGGAAAATAGTTACTTTTATTTTGGAAATAAAAGGGTGCGCAAATATAAAATGGGCTGCCTGTATCTCTAACCTGTAAATGACTTTTTCACTTGGAATTACGAGTCCTTCATACTGAAGTATTAAAGACAAGCAAACCTACCATGAGTTCTGTGGTTAGCTCTCCCCATTTAGATTAGCAGCAGGCTTTAAAATTTGCCTTTTCTAATGAAATGAGCTTCTCTGGGAAGCATATGAATAATGCAGAAATGTACTTCTAAAGAAAGTTTCCAAAAATACATAATGGTCAAAATGGGAACCAAGAACATTCATACAATGAATTTAAAAAATAAACTTAGAAATGACACTCCTTAGAAGACAGAACATTAGTCCGGAGCAAATATTGCCAGTGAGGAATCATTTCCATCTGCAGAAACACACATGCCCATGAGTAACACTGAAAGTAGAATGAAGCTGGATGGGGCAAGTGCTGACGGGATGCACATCTAGCCCGACTTATATCATCCTGTGGTCTCTGAAGGCCTGACCCTACCACATGACTCAAATATCACACTCACACGCTAACCAAGGAAACAGCAGATGGGCCACTTGATCACTCTTGATTACTTGGTTTCCAAAATCAAATTCTTCTTTTTGTTTTTGTCTATTAGAAAAAGTCATTCTTAAATTGATGCTCATAAATAATCCATGAAAAAAGCTTCAGTTCTGGTTTCTCTCAACAGTATTATATTAACTCCAGGAATACAAGGTATTAATTGAGTAGCTGCTTTGAAGCCATGAAATACACATTCATAAATATTTATCTGAACCATAAAGAAAGAGTTTTGATCCATCCAGGTAGTTGCTGGGCAGAGTTCTGGCTTGGAAGCAGCAGCACTTGAGCAGCAGGTTAGGAAGTGGTGGCTTGAGGGCTGGGGTTGGGATCTTCCTGCTTTCTGCATTTCTTTATAACACTGTATGTACCATTAGCCAGGAAAACCACAGAGATGGCTGCAAAGTAACTGGCGTAAATCAGGAACTACAAGAGAGGAAAGCAGTCATTCATAAAATTACCAATTAGAGATGAGTTGTTTCGTTGCATACATATACATGTACTCTACACAGTTAAAGTATGTCTAGAGTTTCTCAATTAAACTTCAGAAACGTCCCATGCTTACATATGTGCCAGATAATGAAGACCCGGAAGCAGCCTAGCAGGATAGCAGTGAAGCCTGCCCAGCTGCCTGAGTTTGAATCCTGACCTCATGTCTCTTTCTAGATGTAACCTACATGAAGGTATTTAATCTTGGGGCTGGAGAGAGGGCTCAAAATTAATAGCACTTGCTACTCAAACATGAGAAGTAGAGTTTGGATCCCAGCACCCATGCTGGTTGGCTTCCATAGGCCTGTAACTCTAGCTCCAAGGGATCCAACACCCACTTCTGGCCTCTGAGGGCACACACACACACACACACACACACACACACACACACACACACACACACACGGGCACACACACACACACACACACACACACACGGTTTTTAAAAAGAAGAAAAAAACTCTATATACTTAATCTCAGAGTCTTGGCCTAATTTAAAAAGAATTTTAAACAATTTTTTACAAAGCTTATTGGAAGAAGTGAATAAGGTCATGTACACAAAGGTCTACTAGCACAATGCTAATGCCACAGACACTATTTTTGTTGTTGTTAGTGCTGTCATTGCTCTAAGTGAAGGGTAAGGGTTAGGGTTAGAGGGTTAGGGTTACAGTTAGGATTAGAGGGTTAGAGTTAGGGTTAGATCTGTATCCTCAAAATAATTGGTGAGTATGTCTAAGAGATCAAGAACTTTTATTTCCCACCAGGAGAGGGCACTAGAAGGCCAAGAATACTGTACTACCCTTATTTGACTATTCTGTGTGTGTGTGTGTGTGTGTGCGTGTGTGCGTGTGTGCGTGTGTGTGTGTGTGTGTGTGTGTGTGTGTGTGTGTGTGTGTGCGCGTGTGTGTGTGAACATCTTCATTTTTTTAAAAAAATAACTTATTAAATAGTTACAAACCAGGTTCAGGTACAAGAGTGTGGTCCTAAGTCTGAGCCAGATTCTTTAAGATGTGACCATATTTTCATAGGAAAGGTGTTAATGACTCATGGCAGCCAGTTTCATACAGTCCACAAAATGTTATTCTTCCCTGCATAAGTAAGCCATTTTTCTGATAATGTGCTCTTAAATTTCCACACTAAATGTCACTCACGTTTCTTTAACTGTAATGGTCTGGTAATCTTCCTCACAAAATGGGCAGGATGAATCTCTATTCTCTACCCAAGAATAGCTTTTAGGCTAAAACACAGACTTAAATCCTCTCCACCACACTGTTCTTGACTGTTTAATCTTAGACAAATCCCTTAATACCTCCCAGAGTCATTTCTTTGATACCTAGTATTGACAACTTTCTAGTCTATAAGAGAACTGAGAAAGAGAAGCACTCAGTACAAGTACTTACTAGTTTTATTTCTCTTGTAGATTGCTTAATGAAAACAAAATTCATTTTAACACTAACATGTTAAGTCTTGGTATCTAGGAAAATTCATGTGTAAGTGTAAAGTACTAAGTAATAATGGGAATTCAGGAAAAAGGAAAAGAAACCACTTGGCTGGATGTGGAGACAGTTACTTCCTGATTCAGCTGCTTACTTTACAGAGTATACCCACAAACTCTATCTACACTGTAAAATTATAATACATAAGGTCATTTACAATGAGTCTAGATGGATGAAAATAGCCATTCTTTGAGTGTTTGCATAAATGTTTTCTCAATAGGTCACATGTTGAGAATCATAATACTTACCAACAGTAAGTCATTAACTTGGTATTTGGGTGAAGGTTGCTTTATACAAAGGAGGAAGGGGTCTTAAAGAGCTCTGAGGTACCATGAAGCAGGACATCTCATATAGTACATCAGGTGTATAGATTAAGAATAAGGGGCCGGAGAGATGGCCTAGAAGTTAAGAGCACTGGCTGCTCTTCCAGAGAACCTGGGTCCACATGGTGGATCACAATTATCTGTAACTCTAGCTCTAGGGGACCAAACATCCTCTTCTGGCTTCAAGGCACTAAGCATGCATGTGGTGCATAGACATACATGCAGGCAAAACCCACACATAAAACAAAAAAATAAGCTGGTGCTCTAGTTCAGCAGAAGAGCATATGCCTAGCATGTTTGAGGCCCTGAGTTCCCTTACCAGAAAAGCAAGAGGAAAAGACAGAAAAGAAGGACAATGAAGGAAGAGGTAAACAGGCTAAGCCTGGAAAGAATCAATATTATCTCAGCTAAAACAGTCCCTCCAGGCTAGTTAATTTAGCTCTAGGTCAGTGGTTCTCACCTTCCTAATGCTGTGACCCTTTAATACAGTTCCCCACATTGTGATGACCTCCAACCATAAAATAATTTTCATTGCTATTTTATAACTGTAATTTTGCTACTGTTATGAATCATAATGTAAATATCTGATATGCATATATCTGATATTTGACCCCTGTGAAAAGGTCATTTTTTCCCAAAGGGGTCTCGACCCACATGTTGAGAACCACTGCTCTAGGCCCTCCTCAAAAAGATGATCTCAACAACCTCCACGGTAAAGAACACTTGCTTTGGATCTGCTCAGAGTGTTGTTGTCATAAAACACGCTCCACCCCAGTCCTTTCAGACTGTTTCTGGTGTCAATGACGAGATCTCACCTGTGTGGTAATTTCTAAGCCAAGGCCCTTGGCATCCACCACAATTAGAGTGAGCAGAGTCTGCAATACCAGGGCAATGAAGGTGTTCACACCAAACACAAGGGCATAACGCTCCATGCTGAGGTTTGCAGCAATCTGAAAACTGAGAAAAGAAAAACAATGCTAGAGTCCAATTACCTCTTCCTCAACTGTTACATGTTTTCACTTTAAATGTGAACATAGCCCCTTCTTTCCACTGCTAATGACCTCTCCAACAACGTGAAGTGTATTGTTACTGTATGATACAAATCTTATGAAAATCGTAGGATAAAAACACAAGAGAACAAACAAATTTTGCTGAAATACTCCTGAGGAAAAAATGTATAATAACTACAATATAGTGTGTGCTCCCATTTGCCTCTTTTAAATAGAAATTTTAATTATTTTTGGTTTATAAAGAAATCCGAGTTTATCTTGCCATAACTTTTCCTAATACTTCTCTGAGTGAAAATACATACGTTGCTATGGTGATGAGAACCATGTAGATGATTCTGAAGACAACATAGGATGCATAGCACACCCAGATGTTCCCCACAGTGTCCATGATATACACTGCAGCAGCGATCAGGAGAGAGCACAGGAATAACGTCATTTCTCCCCAAGTTGACCACGATATTTTTATATAGCCAACTGCAAACACAGCACTAGCACCTAGAAAACAAAGAAAAGAGTAATCTAGTTACTGACTAAACACACTCTAGCTCAACACATTAAAAATCCAGTTATTGTATTACAATCTTTAAAGTTGTAATTTACGGAGCTCAAGACTATCGAGTTCCTTGAAACTCAAGCAGAGAATTCTGAACTTGGTGGGACAGCACGGTGCCTCTGAGATGAGACTCAGTCAGGGTACGTGGCAATTAGATGGAAAAGGACGCAGACCCAGGGATGTTGCTAAGGAGACAACTGCTTGGCCTGATGCACAGGCGAGAGTCACAGAAAATCACTGCATCTGCTGTGGCAACATGGCTGGGTGAGTCTTGGTCCTTCAGACCAAGAAGCAATCGAGTATTGTAAAACTGCTTCTCCCTTTAGTGGAATGCCGCCGCCGCCGCCGCCGCCGCCGCCGGAAGCGACACACAATACAGGAGTGCTGTCTGGGGGCCAGCCATAGTCAGCAGGTGCTTAGAGCCGTTACGGAGACTCTTCCAACAACCTTACGAATCAGGGCAACAAAGAAGGACAAGAGTACGTGTTCTCAAGGATACAGGCTCTGAAGCCACCATGCCCAAGTCCCAATCTTTACTTGACTATCTACCATTTATGTGATCTTAGGCAAATTATTAACATGTCCAAAATTTCCAATGTAAAATGACAACAATAACTGCAACCATCTTGGGAATTTTGGAATACAACAAATACACATGTTGTCTATAGAACAGTGTTTGGTATATATTAACATTCAACAGACATAAGCTACTGTCATAAACTATAGTATACTGCTACTCAAACTCTCAGTAAACATGGGTAAGTGGAACATGGATAAGCGAAGAAAACTATCTAGAAAATTAGTGCATTCCACTTCCCCCAACGTGTTTGTCAGTCACAGCCCTCTACCACTTGAAGTCATCCAAGTTTTCGCCTAAATTAGAAAATTGGTGCTCAAAACAAACCCTTCCTTTGGGCTACTTCAAATTTGGGCGGCGTGAGTAAAGCTGGTCATGGCTGGCCGGACTGCCTGCGGACTCTTCCTCGCCGCTTACCCAGCAAGGTTGAGACCGCCTCCACACCGCCGTTGTAGATAACCGCACTCTGAGACGGCATCACCTTCTCCCACAATCCCTGTGTGTAGTTCACCACTTGAAAATAGCCGCAGGTGGAGAGGGCCCACCACACGGACCAGCAGAGCAGAGGGCGGGAAGAGTAACAGATCAAGAAGTCATTCCACAGGACCTTCAGCACACGCAGCCGGTCGGCCTTGGGCTCCTGCGCAGCAAATGGAAAGCGCTCAAACACCTCGGCGGGAACTGTGCAGACAACTATGCAAACTCAGTTTTCTATCTCAAAAGGTTTTTTTTCCTTTGTAAAAACAAACTGCTTATTTCAAGTGGAATATATGTATTTGAAAAGAACAACAATGTGTTATCAAGGACATGAGCTCTGAAGATACTAGGAGTTTGGATCCTGACTTCACTGTTTGCAATGACATGACCTTAGGCAAATCATTCACTATCCAAAGTTTCCACTGTAGAATCAATCAGTCTCTCTCTCTCTGTGTCTCTGTGTCTCTCTCCCTCTCTCTCTCTCACACACACACCCCTTTCATATTAAGAATATAAACTGGGGAGTTAATTCATCTTTCTGGTTACAAAGAACGCATAGGGCGGATTAAGTGATGGACCCTCTCTTCTAAGAAAGAGTGTTATAATCATGTCTTGCAATTTTCTGTTATTCTCTTCCTATCATTCATTTACTGCCCTTCTATAACAAAACAACAAGCATCATTTGAAAAAATAACATGTATCACTTCTAGCATAGAAAAGGAAAATAAGTTTGTATCTTTAAGTACTTTGAGCTTTAATTCAGAAGCTACAAGTAGACACAAATCGCCAACAGAATCATTTCAGATACTCATTAAGCACACGCACGCACACACACACACACACACACACACACACACACACACACACACACATTTTTTTTTCCCCTGAGTGGTTTCTTTATATATACCAAGCAGTAGGGATACAAAAATGGAGACAGCCCCAAGACACCTCTGCCATGCCATGCTAAGTAATGCTAGGTCAGCCTGACTTTGAGAATCAGGCACTCTAGGGGAGAATACATTGGTGACCCCTTACAACTAATCAGTTGCATCTTAATGAATGAATGAACCAATGAAATGGGCTTGCTTGTCTGTCACTGCCATTAGCCAATGCCCAGGACAGCAACTCCCTGCATATTTAAGGCTAAACTCACCGTTTCCTCCACGGGAGGTTCATCTAAATTGAGAGGGATTTTTGACTCAATGTCCTCCCATCCAGGAAGGTGGGTAGATGCTGGGGCATCAGTAACGATGCTCCCATTCTGTACCTTGATGCCATTCACTCCGTGACAGGAGGCAGGAATGTGGTGAAAGAAGAGGCTCTTCTGTGGCATGGGCAGAAACCAGGCCACAGCAAAAGCCACAGAAACGCAGGTGAGGGAGATGACGTTCAAGCTGAACAGTGACCAGCCTGCCACTGAGACGAGGATTTGCCCCAGGACAGAGCCCACTGTGAAGCCCACCAAGGTGGCACTTCTACAGTAACTTGTGACTTTCTGGTACATGCCGAGGTCGACCACACTGTAGATGTAGGAGTAGTAGGCAATTTCAGTGGCTGTGGCGATGCCATAGAAGAATTCCAAGAACTGAATGGCCAGCAGTCCTTGGGCATAGAGCAGCATGAACCATGTAACAATAAGGCTGAGTCCCTGAAGCAGGATGACAGGCTTGTAACGGAGGTAGTCTGTGGCAAGGAACACAGGGAACAGCAGCACCAAGTAAGAGTAGGTCCAGACTGGGTAAATTTCATTGAAGACCTGGTAAGGAGAGAATAGAAGCTCCTCAGTGATCGGAAGACCCAACAAGTCACAAAACTCCCTCTTACAAATCCGTCTACCAACATTCCCTTAGCAACCAAAGAAACACTAGCTGCAGTACGTTCAGGTAACTATCTGAACAGCCTTTCCTAGCCCCACGCCATTATTTTGTCATAATAAAATCCTTTCCATCAGGAGTCTTACTATGCAGCCCAGGCTAGACTCAAATGCACTATGGAGATCAAACTAGTCTGAACTTTAGATCCTCCCAGCTGCTGAGATGGTAGGCATTTTCTATCTCACTCATGCCCAGCCCCTTCAAAGATTCTGAGAAGTGGACCCAGAATCATCTGTATAATTTAACAGCCAGTATACTGTTTGGAAGACTCAAGGACCAATAAATGCTTTGAAAATGAGATCATTGTCAACTCTTATCTGTTAAATTTACTATTATTATTATTAGTTCTTTTGTAATTTTATACATATATACAAAGTATTTCAATATCTCCTCCTCCTCTCCAACTCCTTTGAGACTAACCCCACCAACTTCATTATTATTTCCTCCTCTTCTATGACCCAGAGTCCAACTAGTACTGCTTATATGTACATAGGTACGGAAATAGGGCCATCCACTGAAGCATGGGCAATGTATTCTGGGTCACCCCTCTAACATCAGTGTGTAGTGAGGTTTCTCTAATTTTAAGTTTGCTCTTTGGAGGACAGAAGAAAATAGTACATCTGTCCTATGCTTCGATGGAATAACTCTCCCTTGGTGGTAGAATTTTATAGGCAACATGTATCCTTCTTACTCATTTGTAACATGAAATAAAATGCAAGTGTTGGGTGTTTTATTTTTCTTTTCCTAAATCAAAAAAATAATTTATATAGTTGTACAAATTTTGAGATACAGCGTTTCTTGGTACATGAATACACTATGCAATACCCAACTCAGGATATTTTTAGGTTATTAATTATCTCAAATATTTATCATTTCTTTATAGTAGGAACACAGAATCCTCACTTTAGCTATTTTGATTTATATGACATAAGGTTAACTGGAACTTATTGCTACTTTCTTTTTTATGCACAATTTTAAATTGGGATGCTATAAAAATAGTCTTTAAAATATATTTTAAATGAGAAAGACTGCACCTGGAATTTTTGTTGCGTTACTTGTGTAAACAAGAGCTGTTCTTCAACTCAGGATGGGTAAATGCTAATAAACTTGCTATCAGCTGAACATAACCCAAAAACTGTATTTGGGCTGGGGAGACGGTTCAGCTGGTAAAGTGTACTTGTCACGCAAGCATGGAGACCCGAGTTCAGATCCCCGATGCCCATGTAAAAAGCTGGGCACAGAGGCACATGCCTGTAATCTTAGCACTGGCGAGGAAGAGACAGGAGATGCCCTGGGGCTTGCTGGCCAGTTAGCTGACCTAGTCAAATTGGTGAGCTACAAGTTTAGTGAGAGATTCTGTCTCAAAAAATGAAGGCGAGAGTGACTGAGGAAGACATCCTACGTTTACTTCAGGCTAAATGCACCACCTCTCATTCCTGAAAACATAAACACACATCACACACAAATTAAAAAAAAAACATATTTAATATACACACCTACATTTGGCAGCACAGTATTCTGTAGAGTGCTGGTTATTCTCCTTCATGAATGAATCGCTGAAAGGGAACCGTGACTCACTGCTATGCCTGGCACTACAACAAAATGTCATTGCTAGCTCAGGAAAAGGTCAAAATCAAAAGCCAGAATATAGCACATTGAATGAGGATTGTTCTAATAGGATCGTAAAGTTTTAAAGGCAAGCTTACTAACTGTAAATAGGGGCGGTGGATAGGTAAGTTTCTCACTTCCCCTCAGAATTCATCTTTATCACCGGCACAAGAGGATAAAACCTGCACTATTGGACTGTCTGTTGCAAGGATTAAATGAAGGATTACATAATCAATTATTTACTCGACTTCTTCACAGGTCTGAAAACTAGAAGACTGAGTTGAAAATAGGCTATTGGACTATATGAACTAGAACCAGTTAGGCGTGAACCTCGTTCTCCAGATAACAATAATACCTGAAAATGTCCTTTTACAAGGAGCTCACCACCCAGCAATGTCCTAAAGGCTTATGTCACGCAGTTTTTGGTGCTTCTGTTTTGTCGTTGCTGCTTTGGGTTCTTGGAGTCGGGATCCTAGCTACGCAGTTGTCATGACTGATCTGGAACTTGCTATGTAGACTAGAGTAGCCTGGAAATTTGCCTAATCATAATTAAGAACTGTAGACGGAATTCTTTGTCAAAGTGTGCAAATTCTAACAAATGAGAAACAAAGTGTCTTTGTCTCCCTTATCAAGGCAACCTTGAGAGAAAGCTGTGAGGCGAGGCAAGAAGCCTTCCCTACAGATATTTTCACTTGTGTTCCAATGAGCAACTCCCAGCTCCCCCTTCCCCCTGTACTTCCAGATACTACTCTCCTAAAGTTTGACAGTCTCCTGTGTGACTCAGCATGTTTCTGCGCCTTCATAGGTCCCTAACATGTCTTTCCCTACCAAGAAGCTATTGGCCAGCAATCCTTAAACTGTGGTCTAGGTGCACAATGAGTTATTACTGGACCAAACAGAAGAAGGAAACCCTGTCACCTGTAGCAACATGGGTGGAATCAGATGGTATATTTTAGGTTAAATCGTCCAGACACAGAAAGACAAATGCTACACGTTCGCTCTCATCTGTGAAAGCCCAAACAAGCCAATATAAATACAGAACCGTGATCACCTCCGGCTGTAGCTGAAGATAGATGGAGTGTGGCTAGGTGACAGGTCAGAGCACAGTTGGGACAGTCACTCCACTATGGTCTGGAATGACTATAGTCAACAACAACTGATTATAGAGTTTATGAGTAACCGGAAAGGCTCCAAGTATAAGGAAATGGTGGAGAGGTGAATGCTAGTTGTTGTGATCCCCGTATCCTGTATGCACGTGGTGAATTAATACATGAATACATACAATTACTAAGCTAATCAAAAGTTTTACAATTTTTCTCTATTGCTTCCTTCGGCACCCACCTTCTTTTGTTCCAAAGTTCTGCTCAACTGTTCACTCGAGTAATACTGCTTATGTTTAGACATGTAACTTTCAGCAGTAGCTGTCCTTAAGTGATTAATTGCCAAAGTTTCATTGTATAAGTCCTGACCTTTATCAATTTAAAGGGTGTGGTGGCGCACGCCTATAGACTGAGGCAAGAGGACCACTAACTGGTTTGAGGCCAGTTTGGTAACATAGTAAGACCTTGTTTCAAAATAAATAAATAACACTTACAAGGTTAACACTACACTAACACAAACCCACAATTTAGATAACTGAAGATGTGAGAAAGTAAACTACCAGCCTTGTGATACCAACTAAGAATGGTAAGGGATGGGGCGGGTGGAACACAGAGACCAGATGGGTTCTCTTTAACTTCCTCTAATTAAGAGACCTGTTTTTCTCCTACAAGGAACATCAAACAAGAAAAAAATACTCCTCTCCCATTTTCGGCACCAGAGCAGCACATCTCTGAGAGCATCCCACATACAATGCTGTGAACTTTGCCTCAATTATTTCCAGTTAATTCAAACAACCCTAAGAAGTAAATGCTTTATCATTGCTATTTTACAAGAAGGAAAGTCGGTGTTAGAGAATGTTGAATTATACAAAGTTACCTACCACAGTCAGGATTAGCAGAGAGAAGATCTAAACCAGATATCCCCAATCCACCACACCAAAACATCTACTTTCTTCAATTAGAAAACTGGTATTGATTCTGAATGTCCTAAATTTACTTCTAATGCCTGCAGGAGTTTTATCATCTCTGAGGATGTACCATGACAAGGATTTCTCAAGAGATCAAGTCTTGAGAACTTGAGTCTCCAGGACTGGGTCTCAAAGGACATTCTTTTTAAACATTTCTGGTAGAGAAGTCCTAACACCAGAAAACATTCCTTTAATAGAAGGTGCCCTGTTGAAGGGCAACTTCTCACAGCTAAAAATATATAAAATACATACCCTTATTAGTTGTCTATAGCTAACTTCTCATCTCAGGTGAAATCTGCCATGTGATCAAAAGGAATTAATTTGCTCTATTCAAAGTGTCTTTCACAACTTTGGGCAGAACTTGTGTGTCTTCATTTTCTTCTGAGATACATGTCACAGTTAAGTAAATTATTCAGTTTTAGACTTAAGAAAATAGTGTCAATAGTTCTGTTGTCCTACTTAATGAACACATATTTATATAACACTACTTAATCTCTGTAGAGGCGACAAAAAAGAATAAAATGAACCTTCAGCTTTGAGAGTTCTGAACCAAATAAGAAGCATGTATATACACATATTAAAAATGGAAACTGAAAACATGGTGGGCCCAGAAAGGTAAGGAAGACACTAAAAGAAAACACACACACACACACACACACACACACAGATTATTATAAGCAGAGACCATGCATTTGAGTATTGGACCATGCGTGAGTTGGTGAATATGCTAGATTCAGGATTGGCAAATGAATGAAGCCTGGGTGTACTAAAGGGGCAAAGGAATCTACCAGGCTCCCTCAGAGTACCAAGCAGAGTGTGTGGAATGATTTTAAAAGTCAAAGAAAAGCAGTACACATCAAAACCATGTACTGCCAAGAAGAGATAAAATCACTGTTGGGTACGGTGGGAAATGCTTGTAATCTCAGCCACCTAGTAGGCTGAGACATGAGGATCACAAGTGTAGGAATACTCTGGGCAACTTAATAAGAACATCCCTACAAAATGGTCAATGGGACTAGAGAGATGGTTCAGTGGTTAGAGAACCTGCTGCTCTTCCAGAGGACTGGGGCTCGTTTCTCAGCACCTCTGTCAGTTGGCTTCACATCCTCCTGTAACTCCAGCTACAGGGGATCCAGCATCCTTCCTCTGGCCTCCACAGGCTCCTACACACATCACAAACACACAGACATGCATGTAAATACAAAATTGAAAAAAAAGTCTGGAAATACCGCTCAGTATAGTGCTTACACAGCACGCAGAAGGAGTCCTGGATTCAGCCCCTAGCACCAGAAAATAAATAAATAGCTTTATTAATGTTTGGTTTTTCAACGACTGGGATATAGTCCAACTATAACCTGCCTCAGCTTTTAAAGTGGTAACTTTATAAAAATTAATACTTTTCCTAAAATTCTATAAAAAAATCTTTAAAATGCAAATGGAGAGAGGAAATTCTGCCCTTGGGTCTTAGGCAATCTTAGCATTATTTACGATGATCCAGGTTGGCACTTCTGAAGTCTTCAAGGGGAAAATACACACTTCAATACAGATGCTACTGACTACAACCTGGGATTTACTTTGTCTAAAAATCATGCAACGCCCATTGCTGAGAGCAAGCACTCATTCCTGAAGAACAACAGTGGTCTAGTTCAGCTACTAGGTTTTTGTTTTGAAGTAGGAGTCTCCACGGGAAAGAAGGGCAACATGGGCATAATCAACAGAATCAGCCATCATTCCGATATCCCATGCAACAGACCACGAGATTTCTGTTCAAACACCCTTGCCTCCACTAATTTGCACCGAGAAGCATCCTTGTGTTGTTACACAATAGACAAGTATTTACTGGGCCCAGCCCCCTGATATGCTCCTATACCCTCCTAACCATACGTAAGGCCTTCCTTCTGCTAAGGCAGAGCATGTGACTGACAGCACACAGCAGCTCTCAGTCCAGGGCCCGTGACAAAAGAGATCAGCTTTCAAATATCAAAACCAAGAGCGTGTTTCTCCTCACATGCTTCTGTCAGTGCACACTGTACATACAGATCAGCTCGCACGCAGAGTCATGTCTGCCATGGTGTCTACACCTCAGGTTCAGTGGTTGCTCTGGGTCTCCAGCATCACACTTTCTTCTAACTATGTGGTAATTTTCTTCTTGGAAAATCACTCTGATCAGAAGCCTTTGTCTTTTCCTTTTACTGGTACCAAATGCATACGGACAATGAGTAACCGTGAAGTGACCCATACGACCAGGAAACATGAGTTAACGCTGGGGTAGAAGTCTGCTGTACTTGCTAACTATCAAAGAATCTGGGAAGCAACACGGACTCTCAATTCTTTCCCAACTGACCTTGAATAAAGGCACACTGCAGCAACACACCAGAGTAATTCTATCCTGCCAGTCTGAAGTGACTCTCGAAGTGCCACCTCTTGCGCTGACCCACCATGCGGAGTACTGGGTTAGTTGCTCCTCAAAAGAGGTGACTGGCAATACCAGGAAGGTGTAAATGGGGGTAATACTTTACAGTAACTCAGGCAGGGAAGCAGGGTGGTAAGGAAGGAAAGAGGTGTAGGAAAAAGGGGACAATTACCCAGTGTCCACTCAGCTGACAGTAGCTGAAAGACACCAGCCCCCAGCTTTCACCCTCTTTTGTACTCGAGGAAAAGAGTATGGAGGAGAACAGTTTCATTTCTTTCTCAGTCTATATATTCTTCTGCCAAAACCAAGGGCTGGGATAATGTGTCTTAGTAGGAAGAGTTAGGCACATTTGTAAAGTCCACTACGCACTTCTGAGGTGCTATGCTTACAAGTCCTTGAGTAAACGAATGCGCAGGAGTTCTTGATCATGGACCATGGGCAATAAAGCCCACAAAACCTCCACATGCAGCTAAGTAACAAAAGCTGTAGGTGAAGCAACAATTTCACAAGACAAGAAAAACTCAGTGCCAATTATGTGATACCATCTGTTTTCATCCCAGAGATGGACTTCAGAGCAGGCAGGATATCTTTGAACCCAATCTCGCCTAATAAAACAAGCCCAATTCCGATGGTGTACTACTGTCCTGTCCTGTCCTGTCCTTATGGAATAGAGTATATCTATCTTGTCAAAGGTAAACAAAGTCAAGGAAAGGAAAACGGAACCTTTTCACAAAAGCAGCGCCACCTTACATACATGTGTATACACACACACACACTTGTGTATATATATATATATGTGTGTACATATATATGTGTATATATATACACACTGTGTGTATGTGTACAATATATACACATTTGTGTGTATGTAAACATACATTTGTATACACACATATACATAGGTTATGTATGTATATAATCTATTCAAAGTAAAGCTTACTGTTTTTTGCTTTTTGTTTTTAATCCATTCACTGCCCCCTGTCCCCGGCAGCTCCTGCAGGACGTGTCCGGGCAGAGCCGGGCTATGCCACCATCCAGCCCTATTCACCTAGGGCCTGACACAAACGTGCACGCGCGGGCTGCGGCCCCTCTTGCTCAGTCCCGCACGGAACGTCAGCGCTAGAAACTCAAGAGTAAGGCAACGCAGAGCACGATGTGCTTTTCCAAGCGAGCAGAAAACAGATCAGCTATCTGCGCAGCCTGCTCGGGGGGCTCCGCCGCAGGCCCTCCGCAAACACGCTTCCCGCTCGGCCTCCCAGCTCGCCCGCCCGCCCTCCCGCCGCGCCTACCTCTCTCTGGGTCAGGTTCTTGTCCGGCCCCAGCAGGTAGGGCGTGAGGAAGGGCTCGGACGGCCGAAGGTTGGCGAAGAAGCCATAGGCGCAGAGCAGCGCGGTCGGCAGGAACCAGCACTCGCGAGGGACGCGGGCCGTCCGCAGAAGCATAGTGGCCGCCGCCGCCGCCGCGCGTCGGGACACCCGGGCGGGCACATCCATCCTGGGCTCCAGGGGCTGGTGGACGCCGAGCCGACCCCCTCCTCCCTCTCGGCCAACTGGAGCTCGCTCCAGCCGCGGCCCCGCGCGGGGACCTGGAACCGCGCGCGACACCGCCCCGCGCCAGGGTCAGGCTGCTGCGAGCCCCGGCCGCCTCCCTCCCGCCGCCTCCCTCCCGCCGCTCGCCCTTTCCCAGGTCTGCGCCGCGCCAGGCCCCACCGGCCGCCTAGCCCGCCGCAGGGCGCGCACGAGCCACGCCCCCTGGGACCGCCCCGCCCCCCTCGCCACAACCAATCACAGCCCACGTCTCTGCTTCCCCGGTGGTCAGTGGCTGCCCGGGCGGCGTGCCAGCCCTCTGACGTGAGGGTCTCTCCGACGCCCGACAGGTCGGGATGGTGTCTGCATACTGTGGCGGGATCCCACGTGCCAGCCCCCCCATACACCCTTTAGTCGGCTCCGTCACCTGGCGTTTGCCGATCACGCGTCCGGAACGCTCCTTTGAGCGGGATCCCCGGATGTGCGCTTCCGCAGCCCGGTGAGCCGCCTTAATCTTCTCGGCCAGCGTTCTGATGTCTAGTCGGTCCTTCCCCCCGGGAGACCTAGTGACACAGGCCTGCATACCTTTAACCTTGAGGCGGGAAAATGCAATCCCTTGCCTCCAACAGCTCTTTCTTTTTTTCTTCCTTTTTTTTTTTTTTTTTTTAAAAAAAAAAAACATTGTATTCCTCTGCCTTAGAAAGACTCAAGCCGGAGAGAGCTAAGCTTGGAGTTATTTTATTTTTTTGTTACAGACCGAAAGAAAACAAGAGCGAGCGAGCTAGCCAGCAAGAGGTTTTTGCTTTATTTCGTCACTGTTTTTGTTCGCAGGATATAAAGAACAATTAACTACAGTGTATCCTATGTAAAGGAAATCCCCCTAAAGACCAAGGCCCTAAAATAGGCTCCAAATTCCAAGAAGCGCACAGCTCACGAAATTCCCCCTGGTTGCAAAAGTAAAAGCAGCTTGCCCCCAACCCCACGCTGGGAGGTTTCCTAACCAATCTCCTACCTCACCATTTCAAGAAAAATATCTTACCCAGACAGGCTACTCAATTCCCCTGCACTCCCCTTCCCTACCCTTGACTACAAAACCCTTGGCTCAGACGATGGACTGCAGACCCTTCTGAACCCCTGGTCACAGTGATCTTGAGATTCCCCTCTCAGACTGTTAAAGTCTGCTGTTGGTGAGGGCGATCTCAATCTGACCTTTCATCCTGTAATTCCTTCTACAAACTCAATTGTTTTGTGTCTAGAATCACTAAAACAACCATTAACATTTCTTCACTAAAACAGAAAACACAAGAGATAATAAGCACGGTCTGTTTTCAAGGGCGAAATATGATGGGAATCCCCAATGCTTGCTTTCTTACATCGCCTTTGCATGACTTTTTGTTAGACTCACAGGCTCACTCTGTCTTAATGTCACATGATCAAGCTACATGAGTGAATATACCAAAATGAGTGAGTGGCTCAATTTGCAAAAATGCAAGGTGTTGACGCTTTTTCACGGAGTCTTTTCAAGGGATGATAGGAAGACTTCATTCCCTTGTACACCCCAGAGACTGGATAGTGTGTGATGATGTCATCATCATCAGTTTGTAGGCTAAAAGAATGTGTGCTTGGTTATGTTTAAAATTTCTACTATCTGATAATATCAGTAGTTCTAACCCACCCAAATCAAAAGCTCTCAATAACAAGGGCTGAGACCAAAAACTCTGAGAATCTAAATTCCAAACACAAGCCTCACATTGAGATGTCTATTTGCTAAAGTCAGCTTTCTATCCTTTCCTTGAGGCTTGGAAACCTAGTGAACCTATATATCACTTTCCTTGCTATAGGTAGAATAGTGAAGTACTTCCAATCTTCTTTGCAATGAGTGCAGATGTGGATATAAACAGTTTTTCTTGAACTGGGCAGAAAATGACTTCTTATTTTTCTGAAAAAGGCAGAATTCTAACAATGATCCAAAATGAACTTTGTCATTATATAACTTCTATCCGTTTTAGTGTAGCATGAAAGCTGTGAGTTTGATAATATTCATGTGATTGCATAACATTTTATGACAAAAATAGCTAGCCTAATCACAGGTGTAGTCAGTCTTCCTTTGGACCACCAAATAATGACACAGAGACTTCTTATTAATTATGAATGCTTGACCTTAACTTAGGCTTGCTCCCAACTAGCTCTTATAACTTAACCCGTTTATATTAATCTACATTCTGCCATGTGGCTCGTTACCTCTCCTCCATACTCTACATCCCACTCCCTCTTTGTCTTGCTGGCTTAATCCCAGGAGCCTTAGAGTCTTCCCTAGTTCCTCTCTCTCCCCAGAAGTCCTGCCTATTCTCTCCTACCTAGCTATTGGCCATTTAGTTCTTTATTAAACCAATCAGAAGGCACCTTAGGCAGAGACACATCTTCACAGTATACAAAAAGATGATCCCAGCACACACAGGTGCCCTTTGTAAGCAGACAATTTTCTTTCCATGGTAGCAGAAAAGGAAGTCAGATTCATTTGATGAGTGAGAAGGGTTTGACTTTCTGCTGCTTATAAACCAAGACATGTGGGTAGCCTCTGACTACGGAGTCTGGCTCCTGGCTGACAGCAAGGAAGCAAGGACCTCAGTCCTACAATCCCATGGACCTGAATCTAAAAACCTCAAAGGGTCAAGAGTAGTAGCACACATCTGTAATCCCAGCACTTGAAGTGGGAGGATTTTAAATTGAAGGATAACATAAACAATATAAGGAGTTCCAGGCCAGATAGCACACATAGTGAGACCCTGTCTCAAAAAATTGCCAGCACCACCATACAGCACCCCACTCAAAGAGCTTGGAGTAGTTTCTTCCTCAGAGCCTCCAGAGAAGAGTCTGGTCAACATTCTTGATTTTTGATCTGTGAAACATCAAACAGAGATCCTCCCTAAGCCCATCTGGTTATACACAACTGCTGTGAGCTTAGCTGTTGTAATTGTTTTCAGTTGCTAAATTTATGTGAATTTTCAACAATAGGAAACTAGTGCAGAAGTTTATACATATATATGTTCTCATATATACATATATATTTTTCATTCAAGTGTTAACTACTTCCAACCCCATTTAGCTTCTCAGATGGGATGAAAGTGGGCATGCTCAGGACAGTATGGTCATAGACTATGTATTTTTAACTTGAGGCAATAGTCACATAATGCAAAAAAAGCAATATGGAAACTACAGCTCAATGGTCTTAGTACCTTCCTAATACTGTGGAGCCCTCACTCTGTAGGAATAAGAGATGTTCTCAACTCCATAAAGCAAACCCACTTTTAAGAAGCCATTTGCCGGGCAGTGGTGGCCCATGCCTTTAATCCCGGCACTCGGGAGGCAGAGCCAGGCGAATCTCTGTGAGTTTGAGGCCAGCCTGGGCTACCAAGTGAGTTCCAGGAAAGGTGCAAAGCTACACAGAGAAACCCTGTCTCGAAAAACCAAAAAAAAAAAAAAAAAAAAAAAAAAAAAAAGAGAGAAGCCATTAGTCCCCTCTCATCCCTTACCCACAGTGCCTGGAAATACTAATGTGCCTTTGCCTCTAAGAATGTATCTACTCTGAAAGCTTCATACATGTGAACTTTCACTTCTAGCTTCTTTCACTTAGCATGAGGACTTTATGTTTTGTTTACACTGTTACAAAAATTGGGACTTCTTTCTGTTTTATAGTTGAGCCATAAACCACATTTGGTTTATATATTCATCAGTTGATGGGCATTTGGTTTGTTTTCACGTTTTTGGCTGTTTTGAGTTATAAACATTTGTGTGTAAGTGTTTGGATGTGTGTTTCCAAGGAGAGGGATTGATGCATCACTTGGGAATTCTGTTTTGACTGAAGAAGGACCAAACTGTTTTCCATAGAAACTGTACCATTTTACTTTATACAAACAACATACAAAGCATCCCATTTTTCTGCACCCTTTTCAATGCGTATTTTCCTTTCTAAGGAGTAGCCTACCTAACTACCCGTGATGTGGTAGCTCATAGTTTTGGTTTTTAACCTCCCTAGAGACTGGTAATGTTGAGCATATTTGAAATGTCCATTCAATGTCTTTGTTCCTCAAATTGTTTTCTTTGTTATTGAATCACAAGAGTTCTTTATATATTCTGCATACTATGTTCTCCCAAGAAGTACAAATTAAGTAGGATAGTGAGAAAAGTTTTTCTCATTCATATGTAGGGGTATACATTTTGAAAGAAGTAGGATTATGTTATACAGTTTTCTGGTTCTTGTGTATCTTGCTGAGGAGTACTACGTGGAGAACAGCCCACATAATAAATTATACTTCTAGTTCCTTCTACTTGGCAGTCTGTTGTGTGGCTGTACTGTAATTTACTTAACCGTTCCCTGCTTGTGCTCATTTATACTGTTTCTAGTTTTTGGTCATTGTTAACAGTGCTATAATGAAATCACTGCACAATAAATGTTTATATGTGCTTAATTTCATTTACTCCCTGAATGGAATTACCTGGTTGAAGAATACATATCTAAAAATTTTTAATAGCTATTTCTCAGCTGTTCTCCAGTCAAGCTAAAGCTGGGCTAGCTTACGTTTTCACTAGCAAATATAAGAGTATTGGTTTTTACTACATCCTGATTACAGGGGTAGCCATGAGAGCTGTTTTGTTGGTGTTTTCTCTTTTTCTTTTTCTTTTTTCTTTTTTGAATTAGCTTTATGCATTCTTTGAGAATTTCACACAATGCATTTCAAACATTTTCAACACCCTGTACTTTAGATTCTCCCATTCTTCTCTCTGCACCCCCATCCATTCCTACTCAACTAGGAGATTATTTCTATTTTTTTTTCTGATACAGGGTTTCTCTGTGTAGCTTTGAAACCTGCCCTGGAACCTTTTCTGTAGACCAAGCTGGCCTCGAACTCACAGAGATCCTCCTGCCTCTGCCTCTCCAGTGGTGGGATCAAAGGCATGCGCCACCGTCGCCGCCAACGCCGCCGCCGCCACCGCCGCCGCCACCACCACCACCACCACCACCACCACCACCACCGGGCTATGAGATTATTTCTAAAGGCAGATTTTTTTTTTCCTGTTGGTAGCAGAAAAGGCAGTCAGAAATAGTTGAAGGACAAGAGGATTTGGTTTGTT